ATCCACCCGCTCCGGGCTGACGAAACAAAAGGTCAAGCGTCAGAGCTGGTAGCCGAGCCTCTAAAACAAGCAACACTGTACCTGAGAGGTAGAATAACACAGTGGCTAAGAAAGGAGAGTCCAACTGCAGTGGAACTGACCTGGGTTGGAAGCCTAGTTCCATCCTCTGACTATTTTCACAAATGCAAAATATGACTAACAAAATTATCTATCCCATAGGGTTATTGTGAATATGCACAATGTGGAAGGTAAATACTTCATATGTGTCAGTGCCAAATTTTTATTACAGCGACTTGACAAAGTCATCCATCTCTGTTTCAGGTTGCAGAGCACATGAACCATCCCCATTAACAGCTTTCTCATTTCTCCTGTGAAGTCTTCAAAGGAGTTTCTGCACTCAGAGGCAGGAATGGTGTGCTGGTTAAAAGCACGGCCTCTGGGATTTGTATCCCAGAGAGTCCATTTACTAGCTGTGTGACTCCCTTGCCCCATTTTAGGTTCTTCATCTTTAAAATGAGGATGATGAGAAAAAGTATTACCCTTACTCTTAGAGGGTTATATGAGGATTAAACCAGTCAATACATGAAAAATGCACAGTACAGTGCCTGGAATATAGTGAATGTACAGAAAATGTTAGTCATTACAATTCTCCCCATAGGTGATATATTCCAAATTTTTAGGACACAGAGAACAAAATTATAGTTGACCCTTGAACAGCATGGGTTTGAATTGCATGAATCTACTTATACGTGGATTTTTTTTTTACAGCACAACTATAAATATATTTTCTCTTCCTTACGATTTTAATTTTCTTTTCTCTAGCTTACTTTATTATATAAAAACATTATATAATACATATAAAAATATGTGTTAATCAACTGTTTATGTTACTGGTAAGGCTTCTGGTTAACAGAAAGCTATCAGTAACGTTTTGGAGGAGTTATATGCTGATTGGCTATGGGGTGTGGGGGTCAGCACCCCTAACCCCTATGTTTCTCAAGAGTCAAGTGTATTTGAGAACACTATAATGTTAGAGCTGGAAGGACTCTTAGGAATTATTTCTAGTTCAACATTCTCATTCAATAAAGAGTCCCCAGGGAAGACCACAGCTGGCTACCTGGTCTGACCAGCTTAAAATGCAGGCCTCCTGATTCCCATCCAGTGCTCACAGCACACCACCATGCTTCCTGTTCTTTTAGTCTCTCCTCTCTGCAAACCAACAGGCTATCTTCTGGAAACATTTGGGAAGAAATCTTAACTCATGAAGATTTTCAGGAACCCTGCTTCAGGTAGCACATTTTGGGGAGCTGGGGTAGGTGGGCTATAATTTATTTCCCAAGAATCTGTACCCAAGAGACACAAAAAACAAAAGTTTGAAAAATTATTAATTCCTTTCAGGAACAATTAAATATTCTTCCTTAGGAGGGCATAATGATAAATGTTAACTAAATACTCTCTAAGGTTGTAACACGATATGAAGTGCCTATTTTTTCACTTAATCCTCACAACACAGCCCTCCTGCCTCAAGTTGCCCTCCTACACTACATACACAGTGTATGCAATTGCTTGGTTACTTGTCTTGACAGTCTTCAGACTATAAGCTGAAAAAAGACAGGGATCTCAATGATCAGGCGTACCATTCATTTCTTCTTCCAACACTATTCCTGAGCATGAATGAGACCGAAATGGTCCTGGCTTGCTGCAGCAGACTATACTTGCAATAACCTCTCTCACGCCACATGCTTTTCTTACAAAGTGACCTCAACATTCCTTCCATGGGGGTCCTTCCCCTTGAACATGCCCTTATAGTGGAAGCGATGCTACGTGACTTTGTAAGGCTAGATGACAAAAATGCAACACATTTCCACCTTTTTCTCTTGGGGCGGGCACTCTTAGAATCCAGCTGTCATACTGTGAGGAAGCCCACATGAAGACCATGAAGAAAGACCACATGGAGAAGCAACCTGCTCAGCTGAGGCCCCAGACATGGAACCAAGGGACATACCTTTCCCACTGTGCCTTGTTTGAATTCCTGACCCACAGAATCATGAGCATAATAAAATGATTTCTTTACACATTTCTTTACACTAAATTTTGGGGTCGTTTATTATGCAGCAATGGCAACTGGAACAACCACACATGACTTAACATCTAACAAGGAATAAAGATACTAAATAGGACAGTAACTGGAACAGAATAAATTATTTGTTGAGGGTCCAAGGTAGTTATTATTATGCCCATTTTGCAGATGAGGAACTGAGCTTTGAGAGGTTAAGCAACTTGCCCTAAGCCTCTCGGATGGTCAATAGCAGAGTAAAATAAAACTCAGATCTACACTCACACTCCTAACACCATATTCTGTCTCCCTTGGTACTTATAATTTTGTGCTAAATATACAGTAATGTTTTAAAATGGGATTGTCAGTACTGAAAACATTCTGGCCCAGTAGAATTCACCATGCAGTTTCATCACTGAGATGGAAACCTACATATCACCTTCTCAGAGAAGGCTTCTTTGGCTTCTAGCTCATGTAATGCTGGCTCCCTTATCCTCCCCAGCCATCCTACTCCATCACAGTTTCATTTTCTTTATGGCACTTATCCCTAGCTGAAATTATCTTGCTTCTTAATTTGTTCTTGTTCATGTGTCCACTCTCTGTACCTCTGACTTGAATATAAACTCTGTGAGAACAGGCACCTTATCTGTCCTGTCCACTGCTACATCCCTAGTGCCTAGGGCAGTGCCTGGAATATGGTAGGTGATCAAAAATTATTTGCTGGAGTGACCACATTCAGGCACACTGAATGTCCACCCAACTCATCACCTACCAATAAATACGCAAATAGGGATGACATAGAAAAAGAATTTAAAACAGCAGGACTGCATCAGAATCATTCCATCCAGTAAGGTCAGTACAAAAAAATGGAAGAAAGGAATCCATGCTACCACTCTTCCACTTAGAAAAAGCACAAACCCTGAGTTCAAAAGATGTAGAGAAGGGGATGGTGAGTAGGGGGTCATACCTCCTATCCCCCATTCATAACCATTATCCCCTCACTCCTCAAAAAAATTCAGTTTCTTCAGACACACTGACTGAAGCACACCAAGGACAATTGTTAGGTACCCTCTAACATCAGACCTTCTGCCCTTCATCTGGCCTTTCTTTATATACCAGTCACACCTTCCTGGTATGCAGGTCCTATTCTCCTCAAGACCTGTACAGAGGAGGCAATAACCCAGCTCTTCAGGGAAGAGGTAAGGAGGGGGATCTCAGAGCCAGGGAAAGGATCTCTGCATATGCAGGTGTCCAGAGACCCTATTTCTCCCAGAAGAGAAGGTGATTGAATGTTCCTGAAGACTTACCAAGTGCTAGGCACCTATGCTGGACTCTTAAACATGCTTTCCCTAATTTATGGGTGATTCCTTACTCCCAACCCAAGAATTTAGGGAGGCCTCCAGCACAACTTCCTCATCTCAACATTCCCCCGACCCGCTACTCCCTACCCCCAAGAAATACTCAAAATCCAGGAGCGGTTAGGGAGGATAAAAAGAAATCTGGCGTGGCCTAAGAGATAGAACGGGAGGGGAATCGTGTTAGTACAAGAAGAGGGCTATACTGGGCTGGGCCCGGTATAAGTAAAGATTAAGATAAGAAGTTGGTCTGACCCTTTCCAAGCCCAATATGTCCAGCAGAAGAGGTGACGAGAAGCAGGAAACTGAAGCCCAGCAAACAGGTGGCCCCGAGATAAGACCGCAGCTCCATGGTGGTAGATGCACGGGGCCACTGGGCTGAGCAGACGGAGGACGGCCAGAGCCCTAGCACAAAGTCCGCGCCGTTCCCCAAGTGCGGCTCAGCCCAACCCCTCCCGTTCCCAGATTTCCCCCCCCGCCCCGCCCGGTAACCTTGGAGGAAGTGATGTTAGACGGATGTGGGTGGTGCCTCCGGGGTCCGGTTTGAGATGGAGTAAGTTTAAAGGTGCAGATCACGTAGAAGGGTGCGGGAATTGCTCTCCAGCGCGAGCTGCTTCCCTTCGATTCTGGGTGTTCAATCGGAAGACCGAGATGGAAAAGGTGGATGAGATAGCGAGGGTAGGGGGTGGGGAGAGGCCTCCGGAGAACCGTTGCTGGTTGCGTCGGCCTGCAAGCGAGCCCCTCCCCGCAAGAACCGCTGCACTTAATATTCACAACGCAAATTATTGATCGGTGAAGTAAGCGGCTCCCAACAGTGGGCGCGTCGCCATTGGCCTCCCCTTTCTTGCTCCGCAAATAAAGACTGGACAACCAGATTTCATTCTTAAGTTCCTTCCGGGGCCACGAGGAGACCTGGCAAACCTGCTCTTCAGTGCATGGTCTCGAGCCTTACAAGAATGCCCTCTTCCTGCTGGAGAAGCAGCGCTGGACCTTATTTTTCCTTGCAGCAGCAGTTCGTCCACTCAGGGATGATGCAACCAACTAATGCAAGCTCCGAGAAAACCGAACTTCGGATCTCTTACTGCAAAACTGACCTAGCTCTTCAGGGAACCTGGACAAAAGTCACTGCAGGCATTTAAAGCGTAAAGCTTCTTCTGGTTAAATCTACTTGCCTTGTTGTTTTTAAACTTTGTGGGTTGAATATTTCTTTCTCATTTTTTTTTCTTTAAACGACATAACAGGTCAAAATTTCCCGTCTCCTGAGTGGAGACTAGATGAGTCTCCATACTAATGAGTCCGCACTAGTTGAGTCCGACAGTGCGGACTTAATGCTTAGTGAAAGGCACGCGACAAAAGTACACAACCAAACAAAAATACACACCTCTTTTTTATTAGGATCCCTACAAATTTGTAGGCACAGACACAATGGAATTCTCGGGAGACTGCAAGCTCCAGAATGCAGTGCGGCCACCTGCACCTGCCGCATTTCTATTGGGAGGCGCAGAGCAGGCTGGGTTTTGTAGTTCGTATATGCGTTCCCCGCGATAGGCTGCTCTGGTGAGAGAGAGAGGCGGAGCCGGTTGTGTCACGTGGGCCCCGCTCCCGCCGCCGCTGCTGCCGTCGTCTTTCTCTGTCTCGACTGAGGCAGCCATCTTGCTCTTGCCGCGTGCTGTTGTTGGAGGACCCTCCCTGCTTCAGGTGAGACCCCCGGCGGTCCCGCCACTCCACGGCCATAGGCCGCTGCGCACGGTCTCCCCCCGCCCTCTTCTTCCGACACCCGCCAACCACTCGGGCTGCCACTTCCGCCGTGGCGCGCCGAGTGGGGGCGGAGGCGGCTGGTTTGGCTTGTCGGTTACCGGCGGCGCAGCTGGGGGTCGGCACCTGAGGGAAGGTCCCCAGCACCACCGCTCCCTGTGGGGGCCAGCGGGGACCCGCGCTGTTGCCGCCCAGATTCAGTCCCAGGAGGCGGGTGATCCCCCGCCTCTCTCCTGTTACTCTATTCACAACAACAGTGCTGTGACAACAGCCTATTTGTTGTCATCTCATTTGATCTTCCCACTCTACAGATAGGGAAACTGAGGTTAGCAGCCTCCGGCCCCAAGCGCTTGGGACTGAATTCTGTTGCAGCTCTCTTCACCTCGTAATGGCAGTATTTGTTTACAGTTCTGCTTCCCTCCCTGAGAAATTGCCTTGACTCTCTCGATAGCCCCATCACACTGCCTGATGCATAGTAGGCTGTCAGGAAATTGACCGACAGGCACCCTGTTACACAGCTAGTGAATGGCGGTTTCAACTTCCGTTCCCACGTTCTTTCACTTACACCATAGCTGTCCCCTCGGGAGTGGTAACAATAGTACCAGTTTTTGAGTATCTACTGTGAGCCATACCCTGTACTTGATAACTTAACCTTTAACCCCTAAAACAACCGTATGAGTTGTGTGGTGATAAACCTTTTCTAATACAGAAGGAACACAAGTTCAGAAAGTAAAATACCTTTCTGAAGTCCTAAGTGGTAGAACCTTGATCCTTCTGATTCCAAAATTTGTGCCTCTGTTAGAGAAATCCCACATAATAAAAAGTTGGGACTAAAGGTTGAAATTATTTTATCTGTGTGTAAACATGGTGAAAGTGCCTACCGTAATGCTTGGAACATAGGCACTCAATAAATACTGATTATAACCTCATTATTTACACCTTTCTTGAGTCCTTGAGTAAAGGACTAAGCTATCCTAGGATCCCCAAGGAAGAATTAAGTAATTTATGTTCTTAGGAAGTTACTTCTCCCTTTTGGACCCTCATTTCCAAATTTATTAAATTAGGAGGGAGGTGAACTATTTTGTTTGTTTATAATTTATTTATACCCTGCTGTTGCTTGCAGGTATTTGAGATGGCCTCACATACAAAACAGAAATAATGGGTACAATGAAGTAAAGGTTATTGAGGAATAGGGAATTAAATCAGGTGATCTTTGAGGTCTAGTCCAGATTCGAGCTTGGCATCTCATCTCCCATAGACTGAGTCCAATCCTCTTTACTACTTCAATTCCACACACCCCAACCTGTTAGTAGACAAAGGACCACCTTTCTTCCTCTCCTCCCCACCCCCCTTGAGTTTATAACCTCCCTAAAATGCTTTTTCTCTGAGATAATTCTTGGGAACAAGTTTTCTGTTGTACTGATTACATGGAATGGAATCTGTTCTTTCATCTACACATTGATATAAAGAGTTAATTTTGTTTTTGCTTTAGTTTGGAACAAGTCAAGGCTCTTCATCTTGACTTCAATCTCGTCTTCCATCTCTTCTCTTGGGATTGTTACTTCAAAATGTAGAAGAGTTCCAGAAGGTTTACCCTGTGTCTAGTTCTAGTATTTTCACTTAGCCCCTTTTTTGTAAAAAAAAAAATTTTAGGTTCTTGTTAGTTCACTATACTTTCATGGCCATGTTCCTTTGGGAAAAGTGAATATTGATCCTTTTCTGTGGATATTGAGTATAGACATTGGGATTTGCATCAGCAAATTTAAGTCTATGGCTGAGTTGAGATTGGTACACACCTAAGCCTTCTGGCTTTGTATTCCTCCTGTAAAGGAATGTTTTTAGCTGCTGAGCATTGTGATACAGTGCTGGGCAAAGATTCAGGAATCATAAATTTTGAATGTTATTTGGGAACTGGACTTTAGCCTTGAAACATATATATATGGGTTAGTGCTAAAGTACAGTGTCAAAATACAGAATAGTTAGTACTTATATAATCTTTGATTCTCTTTCATCTCTCAAAGACATAATCTTTTTCATGTGAATGATAATTATAAAGAGGTTAGAGAATTGGTCATAAAAGTTTTGTTAACAGCTTTTATTCCCTCATATCTTAGTAATGGTCTGTTGGTCCACAGAACAAGTAAAAGAAGACTTTTGACCTTGGCTTATTTTTTTTTTTTTAAAGATTTTTATTTATTTATTTGAGAGAGAGAGAGAGCATGAGCAAGGGAGAAGCAGACTCCCCGCTGAGCAGGGAGCAGGGAGCCCGATGCGTGGCTCCATCCAGGGACTCTGGGGTCATGACCTGACCTAAAGGCAGATACTTAACCAGCCTAGTCACCCAGGTGCCCCTTAACCTTGGCTTTTATTTGTTTATATAGTGTGGAATGTTAAAACCCATTATAAACGTAAACTTTTTTCTGGTAGGAATATCACTGATCAGATTAGGATTTATGACTTTACAATTTTCTTAAAATTTTCAAAATCAAAACTCGCCTTAAAAAGCTTACTTTTAAGAATCTCCTCCCCCCCCAAACATACACAAAAATTTAGAATTAATGTAGCAGAGATGTTTTTATCAAGTTGTGCAGTGAAGCATTTTACCATGTATGCAAAAATATCTTGACAAGTGTGACATACTATATCAGTGCAAGATATTGAATGAACTCTGTGGAAAGGGCTGCTAAAGTGCTGAATGTCTGAAAATCTGGCTCCCTTTTCCTGTTACTAATGTACCATCTGACCTCGAATAGAAGATATGACTGCCTTATATCTTGACAGCTAGAGAGCCTATTGTTGAATTTCTTCTTTGTCCAGCTTTTTTTTGGGGGGGGGGTTCTATTTATGGTTACAAGGTTATATATAGTTCATTTATGATTTGGGAGAAAAAAGTCTACTTAAAGGTTGTGTTAATAACATTTGGTAACTGCTCTCTGCTGTAAAAATCTTCGGGGGAAAGAAACTGGCTTGTCTAGAGATTTTATAATTGGGTAGCTTTTACTGAATGCCAAAGAACTGAATTTTGATGTGGGTTTTTTTTGGGGGGGGTTGTGTGTGTGTGTGTGTTTTAAGATTTTATTCATTTATCTGAGAGAGAGCATGAGCATGGGGGAGGGGCAAAGGGAGAGGGAGAAGCAGGTTTCCCGCTGAGCAGGGAGCCTGACGTGGGCCTCCATCCCAGGACCCTGGGATCTTGACCTGAGCTGAAGGCAGACGCTTAACTGACTGAGCCACCCAGGCGCCCCGTGAATTTTGTTTTTAAGGAGGGATCTTCAAATAGGTAACTTTGAGTCCCATTCTATTTTCTTTTCTTTTTTTTTTAAGGCGTTTTTATTTTTTTTATTTTTTTAAGATTTTATTTATTTATTTGACAGAGACAGAGATAGCAAGAGTAGAAACACAAGCAGCGGGAGTGGGAGAGGGAGAGCAAGCTTCCCTCAGAGGAGGGAGCCCGATGTGGGACTCAACCCCAGGACCCTGGGATCATGACCTGAGCTGAAGGCAGACGCTTAATGACTGAGCCACCCAGGCACCCCCCATTCTATTTTCTGTTCGTATATTTGACACCCTTTTGGTCTTACACTTAATTTTGGTTCTCTTAATATCTGGTTTATGAAGCTAGAAAAAGTTATTAATATTTATTAAGAATATATAGACAGTATTAATATGATCATGGTGGTGATGAATATTGCAAGCCTAGTGAACCAGAAGGTACTGTTGCATAAACAGTTATTTTATTTTGGTAAAACGGTAACTTTAACAAATCTATTTTTCCCCCCTAGATTTACCAACAGCATGAATCAAGAAAAGTTAGCCAAACTTCAGGCTCAGGTCCGGATAGGGGGCAAGGTGAGTGTGGCATAAGAAAAATTGAGAGGAGAATGTATTATTACCAGATAGTAGTATTATTTTGGATTTGTGGTCATTGGAAATCTAAAATCTCTTCAATAATCAAGATCAAACCACATTTCAATTTGAAAATAACTTGTCTAGATTTAAAATAGGTAACTAGAAAACTTCTTTGGTGGTACAATGGAAATAGCCACCTTTGTTTGAATTCTCTTAACATCTGGTAGTTATGTGACATGAACAAGTTATCTGACCTTGTTAGGCTTCCATCTTCCCATCTGCAAAATAGAAATAATCCTGCATAGGATGCTTCTGAGGATTAGAGTAATACTTATAAAACATCTAACATGGTGTCTGGCACAGAGTAGATACTTAATAAATGGTAGCTATTATGTTAGACTCATTTGCAGGGCATCCCAGTTGTTGAGTTTACCTCATCTTGACTGGATACACCTACTTCTACAGTTAGGTTTATTAGGTTTAACTGGAAATGCTCAAGCTGATTGTACGTTTTGTTCATTGCTAGGTTCTCCTCCCAAATTCCTGCCTATTCTATGTTGGTCAATATGTGCACAAACATTCTTATTCCATGTACTTTGAAGCCTAAGGAAGAGATCATTCTGAGAATCTTTGATTCCCTGCAGCTCTAGTCCCCAGCTCAAGGAGAATACTCTGCCTTTATCTCTGCCCAGTACAATCTTTGTAAAAGGAAAAGTGAAAATAGTACTCAGCTCAGACCTGGGAAGGGAGTAGGTAGGATGCTATGTAGCAGCTCTCCTTTTCATTTACTTTGATGATAACCACAGCTCCTAGGGATGGAGATAGAAGGGGAAGGGAAGAAGTGACTCGTACTTTCTCCTTCCATAGCAATACAGTTATAGGACTCTGGAGTCATATTAACACATTCATGTAACCAAAGTGGTCACATTGTAACATCAAGTATAATGTAATATACCAATGCAAAAACTAGGGATATTCAGGAACCATAGAATATACCTGGAAGAGCTTGAGTCAGCACATCACTATTATATATTTTAAACCAGGTGGTTGGCACATTCATTCAACTAGTTTACTGTGCACCTACTATGTGCCAAGCACATAGTACATAACTAGTCAAGATTTTCTTCTCTTGACACAGCTTAGCTTGGAAGAGAGACATGCTCACAATTACACTAGAGAATAGTAAATGTTAAAATGAAGTACAAGGTGCTCTTGCCTAGGAGGGGCAAGGAAGTCATCACTGAGCTGAGATTTGGAGAACAAACGAATTTATCAATAAGTAGAAAGGTGAGGGTAAGTGGGTAGAGTGAAAAGGGGATCGTCATTCTCACACATGCTAAGGCATGCTGTGATAGCATGGTGCTTAACAGAATGGCTTGCTTTAGTTTGGTACAGTTAGAGTTTAGACTACATAATGGATAAAGAATGGTAGGAGTTGAAACAACCAGGTAATTTGGGGTTGTATATGCCATACCAAGGAGTATAGGATTTTATCCTATAGGCAAGGGGCAACTATTGAAGGATTTTAAGAACAGTCATTTTAGAAAAGTAGGTGCTGGCAACATGGAAAATGGAATGAAATGGAAGTTTGGCATAGAGGAGAACAATTGAGAGGCTGCTGCTGAAGTATATGGAACACAAATTTAGTAGTTGGAATGACATAACTCATATGAAAAGGAAAAAGAAGAGTCTAGGATGACCCCCGGATTTCTGGTTTTAAAGACTAGGTATATGGTAATACTACCAGCTATAAAACTTAGGAAATTTAGGAAGAATAGTTTGATGGACTGATCAGCTTTTAGGCATGTTGAATTTGAGGTACTCAGCTGAGGATCATTTCATTTGAGGCATACAGCGAGCAGTTGAGCTATCCCTGAGTCAGGAACACTTCACAGATAAATGACCATCTATGAAAGTAGTCACCCCTAATCCATCCTTCAGCAACTGGATTTTGTCACAACCTCTGCTGCTACTCACAGAAGTCTCTTCCACTCCCACCAGCATTGCTGAGACTGAAGCCCCTACCTACTCTCTATAAAGCTGATTCCCTGAGTACTGCAGGAATTACCCAGAGATGGAAACCTCTCTTCCTTTCCTCCTGCCATGTCTCAGAAAGATTTAGCCCTCAAGACTTAGGCTTCTTTTGGTAATGTTTTATTTCTGCTTTAGGTTATATTTTTTTAATTGGCCCAGGAATTTAATCCATTATTTTAAATAGTTTTTCAGTGGAAATATAAGAGTTTCAAAGTAACCATTTAGAAATGAGCTATTTCTATCTCAGTGAATAGTATAATTGTCAAACTATTTGCTCAGGCCAATATTCTAAGCATCATTCTAGATTCCTTTTTTCCTCATTTCCCACGTCCAATCCATCAGCATGTTGATTCTTCTGACAGTCTAAGCTCTCACCGTCTCCACTGCCAGAATTCTCCTCTCTCATCAAGACTACTGCAGTAGCTTCCTGATTGATCTCATTATAGTTCATTTTCCACAGCAATGTCAGTCATCTGTAAAAATCATAAATGAGATCAAATCATTCCCATGCTTAAAACCTTTGTATTGCAGCTAGAATAAAATCCAACTCCTGCCCGTGGCATTCTAGGCTATGTGATTTGGCCCTTGCCTATCTTTCTGATTGCATTTTTCTCCTCCTTCCCCTTTGTTCACTCTGCCAAAACCATGACTGACCTGCTTTCTCTCTGTGGAAACAGTAGGTTCACTCTTGTTTTATTCTGCTTGGATCACTCTTCCCCTAGATCTTCCTATGGGTCTCAGCTCATAATGTCACCTCTTCAGAGGGCCTTCCCTGAACATTCTAATAAAGTAGTGCTCCGCCCCCACCCAATAAATACTCTTAGTACTGTGTTGGGTTTTTTTCCCTTAATACCCTTATCCCATTTGAAAGGATCTAATTTGTTTATATATTTATTGACTTTTCCATCCCACTATAATGTATGCTCCTTGAACTAAGAACTTGATTTTTTTCATTCCTAGGAATGTAGAACACTCAGTTGTAGGCATTTGATTCTTAATTATGTCAGAATCTTCAATGTTTCAGAATATCTTTAGATTTAACTTTATTGTCAGGGATTGGTAGGTACTGTAAAAAGCATTCCTTGTAATGTTTGGAAGTTGTTATAAAACACAATTGTATTGTTTTATTTTTTATTAAAAAAGTTTTGAAACAATATATTGAAATGATAAATGGATATTGGAAAAAGAACTGACTAGAACTGGCCCTCAAAAATCTGGGTTAGGCTGACAATCACAACTCTGAGCGGTCTTCTTAGTCATTACTATTAAGTCAGCGATGTGGTTTTTAATTAGAGTATTGTGAATAGGAAGACATGTGACTGCAGTTGCCAGATGCTAGGCATCCTAACACTTCTGTTTGGTTATTTTTCAGGGTACAGCTCGCAGAAAGAAGAAGGTGGTACATAGAACAGCTACGGCTGATGACAAAAAACTTCAGAGTTCTCTAAAAAAACTGGCTGTGAATAATATAGCTGGTATTGAAGAGGTATGATCATTTTATAAATTGTTAAATTATGTGGACAAATAGCACATTCACAAATAATTACACTTTTCAAATGTAAAATATCGGCTTAGAAGAATCAGATATTGTCAGTCACATGTCTTTGAAGGACTAGTTGTTGAATTTGCTTATTGTATAAAAATGGATGATTGTAAAAAAATGATTTTAGTTGATATAAGGAATTCATACTTTTCTGACTCAAAGTATTTGGCATATGTGACAAAATTATGGAACTGCTCTTGAATTTTCATGCAAAATAAGATTTTTTTTCTAATAATATAGAAATAAACTCCAAGATTTCTTCAAATAAGGTGGATTTTTTTTTCCCTTTCTACTCAATCTCTATTACCTCAGCCAAGAAGCTCTAGCAATAGCTTTACTTGGATTGGTTTTCTTATTAGACCTTTTCCAGAAATTATTGGTTAAATTTTTTAAATCATCTTATTATATTTTGGTGATACTGCTTTTCTCAAATATGAAGCCAAAGACTAGTGTTATTTCAAAAGATACTCAAGAGAAATGATAACATCAGCTATTTGTGATCTGTTACCATCTAGATTCACTTCTACCTAATAATTCCATTTCTAATAGTAACCAATGTTTAAATTTTCCCTACTATAAATTAAATTGAATGTTTAAGTTAAATTGTACTTAATGATATCATTACTATGTGTGGTACCACCTCACGATTTTTAACAGATCATTAATGCATATGTGCTATAAAACAGATCAGAAATAATGTGGAGGCAAGGATCACTAATAGCAGAGTACCAAAGAAAAGGCAGTGAAATGGCCACATGTTCCTTCTACTGTGCATATATGAATAAATATTAACACATCATTTAAATCTGCTTTGTACTTTCAAAATTAGTATAGTGATAAAATAGAAAATGTAAGACACATGTATCTTTTCTTCCTTTTAGCTTGATGTGCCTGTGCATTCTTACTCTGATAAAGATTAGAACTTCATTTGCAAGTCTTGAAATTAAACATTTTATATGCATTTTTTTCTTTTGAGCTGTTGAAAACTTTCATGTATTTTTATTGACCTAAAATAATTCTCAGAGAGATCATTCTCTTTATCTGGGGTATATATGAGGGAAAAAAATCTAAACCTCTCTTAAAAAAATCCAAAGCTTTGGGGTGCCTGGGTGGCTCAGACGGTTAAGTGTCTGCCTTCGGCTCAGGTCATGATCTCGGGGTCCTGGGATCAAGCCCCACGTGGGGAATCCCTGCTCAGCGGGGAGCCTGCTTCTCCGACTCCCTCTCCCTCTGCCTGCCACTCCCCCTGCTTGTACTCTTTCTCTGTCAAATAAAAAATAAAAAAACTGAAAAAAAAAATCCAAAGCTTGGTTTAAAAAAAAAAAAGGTAGCAATAATGGACAATAACCGATAATGTTAAACCTAAACAACTTATAAGTGTTCTGGCAATCTTACATCTTTGCATACATTTCTCTCTCTGACTCCGCCCCCCCACCCCCGTGCCCTGCCACCTCAGCACTATTGACATTTTGAACCAGCTAGTTCTTTATTGTGGGAACTGCCCTGTGTATTATAGGATGTTTAAGCAGCTTCCCTGACCTCTACCCACTAGATACCAGTAGCCCCACTTACCACCCCCCCAGTTATGACAACCAAAATGTCCTCAGACTTTGTCACATGCCCCCTAGGGGACAAAGTCACCCTTGGTTGAAAAACACCCTTTTAGAGAGGAAAAGATTCTATTTATACCTCCTTGAAGTATAGATTTAACTATGTAATATCTCCAAGGGCATGTTTTTCTAAATGTTTGTTTTTGTTCAGATTTGGGACACTTTATGGTTCTTATAATTAATAAAACTTTTTGTGGTCAGATAGCATTAATTTTATAAATGTTTTATAATAAAATAAAGAAACAAATCAGTTAACAGTCTTTGATCTTTTCAGAATACAGCCAAACGTGTTAACAATGCAGTGCTGAGGTGAAGATATTTTTGTAGTTGAAATTGTTCTAATAAAGTAATGATGGTCAACACTTAGTGGACATCTAATGTGTGCCAAGCATTTTGCCAAGGACTTGCTAGATAGTAGTTTATAAGTTATTATTCACAGTCTCTGTCCTTTGGAGCTTACAGTCTAGTAGGGAACTAATTAGATAGACAAATATGTATTATCCCATTTCAGATTCAACTGACTCTCTTTGAGTCAGTTGTTGCTGGTTATAGAGAAGAAAGCTGAGACAGAATTAGGTACCTGCCCAAGATCACTTAGCTAGTAAGTGCTGGATTCTGAGTGTTAAAACCAGAGTTCATTCTGTTCATCAATTTATCCTGCTTTTGGTCGTTTCATTTGCACTTTCTTATATCCTCTCTTGGCCTTTTCCTCTCCTCCTGCTCCCCCCCTTATCCCTCAACACCCCATCAAAGAAAGAAAGTATCTGCCTTATACCTTGTATTATTGAACACCTACCATGCAGAATGCATTAGTTACACTATTACATATAAAAAAAAAAATCCCTGTAAGTATTTCCGAGGACATTGATGTTTCTCTTTTTTCAGGTCTTAATGCAGGCATTATTTCTCCCAGAAGCCTTCCTGGTAGCACACTTACACATTTGTGTAAAGAAAGGTCAGATGCCTTTCCTATATGCCTTCATAATGCCCTGTATTTACTTTTATTACAGCATTTATTAAACTGTGATGTGAATTCCTTTTTGTTGCTACTACTGATGGCAGTTCTAACTTTTTGAGGAGTCGTAGCTCCAAAACGTTGCACAGAAAATTAATGCTACAGGGGCGCCTGGATGGCCCAGTCGGTTAAACGTCTGACTTCGGCCCCTGGATCGTGATCTCAGAGTCGTGGGATCATGCTTAAGGAGGAGTCTGCTTGCCCCTCCCCCTGCTCCTTCTGTCTCTCTCCCCCCCAATAAATAAATCTTAAAAAAAAAAAAAGGAAAGAAATTAGTGCTACCTAATAAGCACATACACACTCTCATTGCGCCCAACCCTGGTGATGTCTTCCAGCCCTCACAGACTATACAGAGAAAATGTACATAAAGATAATTAACAATGCAAGGTAACAGCTGTAAAATTTCTGAATATTTGAAGCTAAGATGGAAAGGAGTTTTACTTTTTTCCTTCTTTCCCTCTTTCTAAAATTGTTTTTTTGAGAGCTCTAAGATATTTGTACTTTATGTAACTTTGCAGATTTTGTGTAGGAATATCTAGTATACTATATATAACCTGGCTTGCCTCAAACATTATGTTTGTGTTACTAAGTTTAAAGTAGACTTTTTTTTCAAAAATTTTTTAAAGAAAATGACAAACACTTGGTTTAAAAACAGCTCTTTGGAAGGAGAAAAGAAACTACTGCATTAAATGTAAACATGAAAACATATGTACAGAAGTTTTCAGAAACTAAGATGTGAAAAAATATATCTTAGAATAGAAGAAACACATTAATTATAATTTTGTTATTTTTTATTTGGAATGTTTGAAACTTTTTTCAAAGTGCTAAACTCTGGGGCACCTGGCTGGCTCAGTCAGTAGAGCAGGGGACTCTTGATCTGGGGTTAGGAGTTTGAGCCCCACATTGGGTATGGAGTTTACTTAAAAAGAAAAAAAAGTCCTGACCTCTAAGGAATTTTTAAATTCCTGTTTTTCAGGAATTTTTAAATTCCTGTTTTTCAGGAATTTAAGGGCACCTGGGTGGGTCAGTTGGTTAAGCGACTGCCTTTGGTTCAGGTCATGATCCCAGAGTCCCGGGATCGAGTCCCACATCAGGCTCCCTGCTCAGCAAGGAGCCTACTTCTCCCTCTGACCCTCCCCCCTCTCATGTACTCTCTCTCTCTCAAATAAATAAATAAATCTTTAAAAAAAAAAAATAAATAAATTCCTGTTTTTCAGGAATTTAAGAAAAGCAGATAAAAACTTTCAAAAAGAGAAGACACCATTGCCATTGTTGTAAAACAAAAAAATAATATTACAATGTTTTCCGTACTTAGACCTTCAAAACATCAAACAAGTAGAAAGTACTCAGTTTGGTGGGTGGGGAACAGGGAGATTAGTGGTGGCTTCCAAAAATTCATGGAATGTACTTCTGCCAAGAAAAGTTCTAATCTTACTTTCTAAGCTGTTGGTGTTGGCAATTTTTTTCTCCCGCCCAAAGCTTAATTTATATCCTCTTTAGAAACTTTAAAAACTGAAGGACTGTTTGGATTAAGACAAGCTTCTCTGTTCTTTTATGTATTCATTAGTTTGTTGATTTGGTGTAATAAATTAGTCATAGATTTCTTTCACATGTTACCAAAGACAGAGAAATCCAAAGCTGTCAAAAAGTAAGGGGTATGGGAGTGTCAGAGACTGTTTCATACAAAAGCCTAGGTTTTAGGAGGTCATTCCTAGGCAGATGCCAAGAGATTTATAATCCAGAACTAAGTTTCTAAAAATGTTTTATATTCTATGACATTTGAAGGTATTTGGGTGAGCTTATTTGGTAATCTACTTGAATATAGTGACTATGCTGTCACCTGTTTTTACCTGATAACATAAATCTGTCAACAATGGGATCTGTTCCATTTCCCAGAAATGATTGATTTTATCAGATTTATTTGGTAGTAAATGTCATCAAAAATCTGAATCGCTGATCCAGATGGCCTAGTTGCTTCATAAAGTTTTATATTCAGAGGACATCTTCTGTTGTAACTAGGATATAATTCTGCCTCTATTGAAACTTTTCCTTTATTTCCAGGCCTAATTAATTAATCAACCCTTTCTCTGTACTTCTACCGCCCTTAGCTTAAATTGCTCTGCTATAATACATTTATTAATGACAGCCTCATATTGTGGCATATAATGGTTACTTATTAACCAGTTAGTCTTTTTTTCAGATTATAAGAGACTTGATAGCAGGGACCGTGTTTATTCATTTATAGTCTATAGCATGCTGACTCCCATGATGAGTTTGTTTGGGGCCTATTAAGTTCTTAAGGGATACTGATTATTTGA